ATCCGCAGTCCTTCACTTACAACATTTAAGAAAATTGACAAACATAGCAAATACAAATACATGAAATGCAAAAAGAGCAAGAGCAGAATACACAAGTATTTATGACATGGCAGTACAATACAGCAAATATAGCAGCAATACAATATAGCAGCATCGATGCATAAAGTGCAAGAGGAGATACTCCTGTATTAAAGTGCATTTCAGAATCAGAATACCTTTATTAGTCCCACAGAGGGGAAATGTGCATCGTTACAGTTACATTTAGCGGTGATTGCACGTCTGTTTGTTTCTCAACCATTCTTTTAGTTGACCTTTGAATCTATTGAGAGTGGGACAATCCTGTATCTCAGTTGGGAGGCTATTCCACAGTGAGCTGCCTTTAATGGAGAGGACATTTTGTCCAAAAGTGGTCCGTCTGCGTTGGACTTCACAGTCTCCTCTGGTTTCTGACCTAGTGCAGCGTCCAGTGTGTTTTTAGTGGATGAAAAAGTCAAGTTCGAGTCCAATATGACTCGAAGATACTTGAACTGGGAGACTAGTTCTAATTCTGCTCCGTTTAAAAACACAATGGATCCTTTTGACTGGTCTTTTTCTGAACATCATGCATACTGTTTTTTTTTGTAAGCAAATGTTGTTCAGCCAGTGTTGAACCTTGTCCAATGCATTTGAGAGACAGGATGAGATCATTTCAGTGTTTTTCCCATGTACAAAGATCATCATTGGCACACATTTGCACATTCAACTCAGGACATACATTAGGTATGTGGTGGTATTGGTGATTTTGTTGAGGGAAGTATAGTGAAAAGATGGGAGGCAGGTGAATGTAGTCGAGGTTTGGTTGATGAGGAGAGGAAGAGATGGATGGAGTCTTCGTGGAAAATTACTTGAGCAGAACCAGGGTTTTATGTCTCATATGAAGTGATCGTTAGTGTTTATAAATCTTAAGGGTGATGGATTTTAAGGAAAAATAAAAAACTTGGGTCGGCTTGCAAAGCACAGAGATTTAATTCAGGCGAACAATTTCATTCCTTTAATTTCCCATATATGATACTGAGATTCTGTCATCTGAAACCTTCGCTTCAGACCTGTTTACATGGCTATTGAAAGCAAACATTTCATATTTTTTCAAAATAAAAGCATTTTTTAAGTAGAAGTAAAAAAAAAAGGCGAATACAATTTGAAGAATTGTTCAACGTTTAGTGGCCCAGACAGGAAATGCCATTCTCTGACTTTAAAGACTTAAAGAGAATCTTTTTTCCATGTTGATGTAGAAGAGACATGAAAAAGTGGATTTTGCATAATAGGTGACCTTTAAAATACTTAATTGCTTATGTTGTTTTTTGTATAATCCGTAAATGTGTATTGCACACATTGAGTAAGCCATTGTGTTAGCGCGCTACGTTTAAGTTTCTTCATCATGGCGTCCGATGGGCCTTCCCATACAACGCCATTGGTACGTTAGATTTAGTTGAGTATCCACTGGTCTGTTACACACAGATGAATGGCCGCCGGTCCGCCTGGTACAAACTCTCCGGAAAGGAGTTTTCATTGTGTGCTGCGGCTCATCACATGCCTGGGATCAGGGGGTCTGAGCAGGGTCAGCGCGGGAGCAGCGAGCTGCTGGAGGGGTCATGGAAAGTGTGAAAGGCTGTCACCAAGTGTCCTTCTTAAAGACTTTACCGTCACAATCCCACGTTCCTATCTGTGCAGCATTATGGGCATTATGGCGGCGAGCGTTAAATCACCTTAGATGTTTGGGTTAATGCGCTCCATGGCCGTAGCGTAGACCAGTTCCGCTTAGCTGAGTTGCAGTAAAGTGATTAAAAACAGAGACAAATATATACGAGAGAGAATTATAGAAACGTCTAAACAAGCACACATTTTCTTTATTCCAAATGTGACTTGGATCATGGTGGGTCGGGGCTTAGCTGATTTATTTTATAGACGCATATGGATCCTCGGTGGATCTGTACGCTGGGTCTTGATCTGGCTTAACCTTTCTACCTCTAGCCCAGTTTGCCTGTCGCTCTCTTTGCAGCTGTCTGGATTCCCAACGCAGGCCTGTGATTGGCTGACCTCTGCCCGACTGGCTGGTGTTTTCATAGATGTCGGCCTGATCATCTCTCCCTGACCTTGAGTTTACCCCACCCTGCATGCATTTAACCCCACCCTCTCATTTCTATCCCCTACCTTGTGTTTGGGCCCTTGATCCGGAGCGATGACGTCCCACCTCGCTCTGATTTTGTCCTCTTTTTGTTTCCGTAATTCAATGTATTTCCAGTTTAAACCAGATGATATGAAAGAATTGTATTACATAGTATGTTTGGAAATGTGATGTTCCCAACAAATCCACTTTTTACTTCAGTACCCATTGGAATAAGGGAACACCTGAACCTTTTTTAAAGTTACCATATCTTTGTGAGGCCTTTGTCGATAAATGTTCCCGGACAGGACAGGGTGTGGTTGCTGTTTTCATGGGATTGGTTCTTAAATGGAAGCAGTATACAGTAAATAACACTTAAATAGAAAAAAAGACTTTAAAACATTGAAGAAAAAAGTGCTTGACCTTAAAACGCAATCACAATATGAGGGTACAACCATGCGTCCACTAGTTTTGGTTTTGCCACCCTCACTTCAGTCCTTGATCCCCCTCCCAATGCCCCGGCCTTGCCCTCTTGGGCCAGAGTGCAGCAGGGCGGGGTGAAGAGGGCGAGGCCGGGGGCAAATGCAGGTCGCCATATCCAGATCTCCCTCTGTAATCTCTGCCCCGACTCTGAACCCTGGATCCCATTAAAAAGGATTGTAGATGTATCGAAGGCAGCTTTGCTTTCTTCCCTTCTCATCATTTTCTCCCTCTAATGAAATCCCCCGGTGAAACACAAGCGAGATTCCTTTTTTTTTCTCCCCCACCAATGGATGGGAGTATAGTGTCACGTGAAGATTAAGCCCCGCCCACAACATGGGAGAGGTTGGGAGTTTCATCTGAAATGAAAGCTTTTGAAAGGCTGTGGGTGCTCGGCAGGCGGTGGCGTATGAGTCAAATGCACAGAGAGGTTTCAGAGAGGCAGTGTGTGAGCTAACGAGGAAGAAATGTAGAAGCAGCTTCACGGAGATCATTTGTGCCGATAATCCCTCCCTTCCTCCATCTCCCCTCTTATCTCCATCTCCACTATCCCTCCCTCCCTCCCTCCCAGCCTCATCTGGTCTTTACAGTAAGACATGCTGGCGTCAGCATTCCTCCCTGAGCTCTCCGATCCCATTATTTGCATCGTGGTCAGTGGCAGTACGAGGATCTCGCTCCCCTATAACTGCCTGCCGAGCTTTTAGAGTGATACTATAGTTACCACCAGCCGGCCTGATTACCTGATTACCACACTATCAACAACTACTAAATCTCGTGTCAACCAATCAGGAGACTCTTCGTAACATTGTTGTTTTTAGACGTGGTGCTGACCGCGCAAAAGGTGCTTTGATAACCAGGTATCGGGGATTAGATCACTTGAATTCTACGAAAATCGCGAAGAGGCTGATGGAAAGTCTGGTGTGTGCGTAACGACTTTAGATGTTGTGTTGGGTGAACTTAGGTAGAGGGCAGGGGAGGATGGTTGCAAAATAGAGGAGGAATAAACATGGTTGTTGTGTCTGGTAACACAGATTTGTATTAAAACAAGCATCAGTTTTTTTGCTTCATTACAAACATATTTTTTTAGCATATTTTAAGTTGAACCAGCCAGAAGGACCAGAGTCCAAAAGATAATTGTTTTAGTCCCACAAATGTACCGATAACCATTCCTCAGCTCAATGTGACCTTTTCTTGCTTTTATCTGTTGTATATCAATCTAAATTGAGTGTTAATGAAGTACACAAGACATTATGACGGGCCTTGTTTCAACATTTCTTTACTTCACTATTCCTTTTTTTGATAGTGAAAACAATGTAAATCAATGGTGTAAGAACTTTTGTATATAAAGGACTCCTCTACACAGACCGACCTATCAAAAATCATCTTCAAAATACAATTCTTTATACATTTTAAAAGAATAACCGGGAAAATGTAAATAGTTGCTGCATGGAAAACAGAAAAATAACAAAATCCCTCGAATTTCTTTCAATTTACAGACTTTTTGCTAGTTTTTAACGCTTTTTTTACCCTTTTAACATCTAATTTGAACTGTGTAGCCTATCATCACAAGACACTACAAATATTTCATCCTTCCCTTATGACAACACGATGATAATAGCCCAACAAAAAATCAGCCACCTCTCTGCATGCCGCGCTGAAAACACATTAAAACTCGGTCAGGATGGCATACATTTTTGATGTGTGTGATTCCTCTCGCTGGGTGCTCTCCGTGCAGCGATCTGCCGTGACCCCGCGTTGCCTTCCGATCAACATCCCACCGAGCCCCGAACGTTCCCACACGCTATAAATTAAAGCCACGCTGCACCCCATCAATTAAACACGGCGAACAAGGACAGGCAGAGTTCACCGAGCTTTCCTCAACCTGCATACCGGGGGGGGGAAGTTACCTGCCGTGAGAGAGGAGGATGGAGCAGATTATGACTTTTTTTTAAATTAAAATATTACCTTTTATTACCTTCTTGAGCCAGAAATGTTTCATGTTGCAAATGCTCTCCACCTCCTACACTGAAAGAACTGAAACGTTGACTTTTTGTGAAATCTGTGGACATTTAATTAAAGTCAACGTTTTCACTGTATGGCTATATTTAGACTCTAGCACATACCAGTCTCCATATCGTGACTGATAATATTCCCTCTTTGCTGCATAGCTTCGATATCACTGCCCCTCCCCCATATGTACATTAGGGCCTTGAAGTGAGAGAGCAGGTAAAGTGCTACCATGATCAAATGTGCAGAGAAAAACAAGTGATTTGATCCAATGGGCTGTGCCAGGGGATTACAGCTTGTTCAGTATGCGTGTTCGACTGGTTTACTGCTAAGGTGCTGCGTGCTATCACCGTTAGCATGCTACAGCTAGATGTGCTTGAAGCAGGCGGAGTTCACTGAGAAGCAGAGAAGTCGTGTTTCCAGCCTGTGTCACAACCTTTGGGCATGTGAAGAGGTAATGTCAGGGAGCGTTAGTGTAAGACATCAGTGATTTGTGCGTGTTCAAATGTTAAATATCACAAGTGGGGGGGAAAAGTTCACGAGTTATGAAACACTTTCAGCAAGTGGAAGCTGTAACTTTGAGCAGTTTGGTGTCAGAAGTATTGTAGATACGTTCAAACACACCGACGTATTGCTTTCTAAATCTTATTCTTAATCATTTATTTATAATAACTGGGCAAAATTGAATATTTACTGAATGGAAAAACACAAACTGAACTAAATGTCTTGTATGGAGAAGTTTTCTCTCAATTTAGAGATTCTAACGCTTTTTTCCCTTGTTGTCATGTCATTTGAATTCTGTATCATAACAAGACACCACACATATTTAATTCTTCACATATGACAACAAGGTGATAATGGCCCGACAAGGTATTACTGACATCTCTTCACGCCACGCGGAAACTCAGTGAGACTCAGGATATAGTTTTCTGTTTTGTTTGGTGTTCCAGCCCTTTTCCCTGTATTCTCTCTTCTATTTATCGATTTTATTGACTTTTCCGCTGACAAAGTGTGCGTTTGCGACAAAAAAAATACTGACGTGAATCTCTCCTCTCCACCGCTTGTTGCAGGTCAAGGTCTGGTTCCAAAACCGCCGGACCAAACAGAAGAAGGACACCACGAAGGACTCGGACAAACGCTCCTCCTCCTCCAACGAGTCCTTGGCCACCTGTAACATCCTGCGGCTCCTGGAGCAGGGCCGGCTCCTCTCGGGCCCCATCCCGCCGCACAACTCCCTCCTGGGGCCCCACCCCTCCAACGGCTCCCTGCTGAGCAGCCCGGGCGGATCCTCCACCTCTCAGGGGATGGGCACTCCGCCCTCCTCCCTCGCAGGGGGGACTTTCGGGCTGTCGCTGCCCTCGCTGGGCGGCACACCCCCCTCACCCCGCCTGGGCGTCCCCTCCCATCACTCCCTCTGCTTCTCCATGCCGCTGCTGGGGGGCGCCCACCACGAACTGACATCCGTCTACGGGTGCGGTTCTTCAGCTTTTGAGCCGTACATGCGGCTGGACAGGAAGGAGGCGGATCATGGCGGGAAGAAGACGGTTTCTTAAGTCCTGCGACACCTGGAGACTCGTCCTCAGACCTCCACCCCTCAAATCTGTTTTAACTCTTGACTTTCAGCAGATTTGGGGGGAAAGAAAACAACCTGGATCATGTGATCTATGCGGCACCATTTTGTTCCACTGTTGACACAAAATGGTGAAAAGATGGCGGGATGGACGTGATGTGACGGAGACTCTCCCACATAAAAAAAAAAACGTGTGAATTTTTGCAGGAAATGCCGTGTGTGTGTTGCGTGAACCCTGACAGACAGATGTTTTATCCCCGCTCTCTTTGCAGTGGTTTCAGTGACTCTTCACTTTGTGTCCAGTGAGTTTGTGTGTGTGGTTTTCTCTCTCTATACAGGCCTTAATTTTACTGTTCAGGAAAAAAAAAAAATACTTGACATGGATAGTTCAGACTGAATCAGCGTCTGAATAAGAGGAGCGATAATTCAAAGAAAGCAGTTTGTACACATTTCAGTACATATTCCCGTACAAGTGGCCATGTTTGATTTGAGTTAATGTGCTATCACAATATGGAAGAAACACTGAAAAAAAAAAAAAAGAATCGTAGCATTTAAATATCAGTCTCTTTGGTGTCCAGCAGTAGTTTTATGTAAATTCTTTATTTGGTTGTGTTTGTGTATGAAATAATGTGGTAGGATCTGGACAAATGGTGCAAAACTCACATATCTAGATCCCATAGTTTTAATATAAAAGAACATTAAGAAGGATAAGTGTGTGAGGAAGCTGGTGAGACTCTGCCAAAGCATTTATGGACCAAGCTTTGGAGGTGTGTGTCCTCCAACCACTGAAGCAAGTCAAGGTCAAACTGAGATGACCTTTGAGCCCAAATGTACAGTTTTTGATTGATTTTGACCGTTAAATCAGACTCAAGTCTAGGTTTTTATAACATCTGTCCCACTTTTTGAACAATTATTGTATTTACAGAACCAAACGTGTGTAGGCCGTGTTCATATGTCAAGCTAAATCCACACATTTTCTAGTTCCAGCTACAAAAAAATACAATTATCTTTATATTCTTTCTCATATATGACAATTAACCACAACAACCTCTGAGGAAAAAAAATGTAAATCCCACATTTTCACATTTTCTTTTATTTAAGTTGCCCATTTTATGGTTTGCAACATCACAGCTATCAGAAGTACTGTCTCATCAGGTCATATCCATAATCACAAGAAATGTATTTTTACACAGGAGACTAACGGTCTGCTTACATTGCAGCATCTTAAATATTTTCAATAATATATTTTATTTTTCTTTATTTGTGTTTGCGCCATGTTTCCCTCTCTTTAGACTTTTGGCCCTCCTGCTTGCCCCCCCCCATTGAAAGCACTTTATGTTTGTAGGTTTTTATACATCCTCATGTATGTGCCCCCCATTTTCTCCTTATTGAAAAATCCCAGCTTTAGTGAGACTCGACACTTGGTGATCCTCCCGAACCTAAATTGACTCCAGGTTCAGAAAACAGCCCCCTCCGAGACCCCCCACATACATCAGCTGTATTTTTCCCATATGATGCCATGTTTCCTTGTTGTCCAAAGAAAATCAAATCTCGCCTGCAATTCCCCACAGTCTGCCCTCAATCTGTTTGTGTCAGATGAGTTCTCAGCTCTTTTCACAACTTCTGTCAGCTGCTTCTCCTTTCCACCTCTTACTACCCATTCATGTCTTCTCATTGTGAGGTTTAATATGTGCTCGCTGTAGGTGGCTCGACACCTATTTAAAGAAAAAGCGACCACTGTTGTGACATCAATTTAAAAAGCTGCTCACGAGTAAAAGCCAGGTCTAAAGTGTGTTTCCAGCTGCAGGTAAATGCATGGGAAGGTTTTGACCTCAGCTTATGAAAGAAAACCTCTGTCTGGCGGCCTTTTTGCACCCGTGTAGTGCCGGGATAGCAGGTGATTTGTTATTGTTGTGTTGAGGCCCCAGCAGTACTGCGAAAACCCCTGTTATCCTCCCGGGCTCTTTGCGGCGGTCCACTTGTGCTGTATTCTTTTCTATAAGCACTATCCATAATTCACACGCTGTGGCATGAAATATTCAGCAGAGCGATGGAGCTGAGAGGTCAGGAGGCTGCTTTCTCATGTAAGGCCGCTGTATCCTTTCACAAACCTTCCCTTTTCTCCCTTTCACTCACCAGAGGGGCGTTTTGCTTCATGCTTTCCTGTAAGCAAAACAGTCACGTTTTTTTACTGGAATATTTATTTTCGTGTTGCATGATTTAGAGCTGTACTAGGAAAAGAGGGGCTCTACAACAAACTCTTCTTAATGATCCCATTTTCTGTTATTTGTGACGGTAGAGGAGTTTGTGGTTACAGAAGACATTTCCATCCATTCAGAATCAGCACTGACTCATGTTCTGTCACTGTACGGTGGTGTTTTGTAATGTAAATCTGCAGTTACTGTATTGTACGCTCATTCACGGCGACGAGCAGCTATAGGAGAGGGATGTGAGAGCCCTGCCGCTTAAACAAAGCCTTTTTTGTTTTGTTTGTCCGTAATCCAGCTGAGTGGAAGTGTTGCTTTTGACATCTTGCACTTGTTTACCACCATCTCAGAAGCATAGTGGGCCTTCTCACTACTGCATCGTGGGTTTTTCTGTTGGGTAAAGTCCTTTTGAGATTGTGTGGAAATGTTCCTTTTATTTTATTTTCCCTTTATGCACAGCCAAGGTCCTGCATAGGCCTTAACTTCCTTTCTTTTAAGCAGTAAAAGTTACTTAATGTCAAGCTAATGGCACCATCTACTACTTATGATGAACAAACTCTATGTACATAGATATAAATTTATATATGAATATATATAAATGGGTCTTTGCACAAGTTATCTCCATGTCCGCTCCATGTGACTTTAACAGGAAAAAACAAAATGCGACTGAAGATTCATTAAAAAAAAAAAGTCTTTATATATGCTTTACAATTCTTTGTCTCATTAACATTTTGCACTTATTTAAAGAGGCTTACTTCTGTTTCTGGGCTGACAGAGCTGTTTTCACGCTCGGCCAAGATATTGTACAATATGTATATGTATTTTTATTCATATGCATATAAATATATGTCTATGTAATTTGCCTCCTGTGTTCTGTGTTCTTCACTTTCTGCTTCAAAGACACGAAAACTAGCATCTAAAATGTGTGTTTGTAACATGATCTGTACTGAATAATCAATCATACTTCTTTTAAAGGGTTATTCAGTGAAAATATGAGTTTCTGTTTCAACACATAAACATGACTCACATCTGCTTGCACTATTTCTATTCACTGAGGATTTTGGGAAGGCCTTTGCTCACTCGCATATTTATCAAAAACCTTGGCTTATTGGTCCTTTCCATTAGCGTGGCAGAAACATCAAGGTAGTGGACATTTCACCTTTTCAGGTCTCTTTGTGGAGGCCTATGAAGACTTTGAATTCTCTTCTGGTTTGGATGGTGGTGCACAAAGACGTGAATTAATGCGCCCTTGGGTCATTAATTGGATGAAAATACACAAAAAGTGGAATGATGTGGGCGATTCTGCTCAATGTTAGAGGTAAATACATCTCATATTTTCATGACAGCAGCAAATACTTTTGAAGAACGAAAAGTAATTGGAAGAACTTGGACACAGGGCTGCTGGTCAAATAACACGTTTAATTGAGTCCATCGAAGAATCTGCAGGCCCATGCAAAGCCCTTTTGTGGTCCATGTAATTCTATGTTTTGACCACTTTAATTATACAATTTCATCCGTATTGAATCCTGCCAGATTCAAGTAGAATGCCATTTCCCCAAATATTAACAAAACATAAACGTCAGGTTGTAATTTGATGCCTAATTAGACTATTCACTTTTGTTAACTGCAAAATTCAGCAGATTGATTATTACTTCTTTTTTTTCACACAACAAAAACAACATTTAAATATTTAATTTATTTTGTATCTGTGACAGCTTTTCACTTTTGATCAAATAAATACAGTAAGTAATCTGTATATAGCTGTTATTTAAACATACATAAATCCACATTCCTTATATTAAATCTAAAGATACTATTCCCCCTTACACATTAAAAGCTCTACTTTGCAGTCTCAGAATAGAACAATATTAAAATCAATAAATAAATATGATGTTTTTATCCATTAAGATCAATCTTTATTGATTGATTGGAACATTTATTATGTGATTGATGCCTCACAGGTTATAATCCAGTAGGCCGAAAATAGGCCTTTCTGCATCATGTGTAATTGAACTTTTTTGTATACTTTGACCGTTCTACTTGTAGTGTACTAAAGGGAAGTTCTGATTGCAAGGCTTTTACTTTATTTACCTACAGGTATTGCTACTGTATAAGTGAAATACCTGAGTATTTCTTCCACCTCTTTTAAAATACTGAACACTTTGAGTCTCCATAGGTTGTCACATAGACCGCTCTAAAGTCTTTGTTGAAAAGACAACAGCTAACTGATTTAAAAACCTTAAGTGTCAGCTAATTCCCTCTTTAATAATGTCCTACCCAAACTCTCCGAACGACGTGTCAAATGCAGGATAAACAAAAGACAGAAGGACTAAGCTGTAAAGGTAACACACTACTCTCAGCGTATCCCCCAGACTTCAGCGAGGGGCATTTCTCTGAGGCTGGGACAATTGATCTGCAGGGTGCCAATTATAGTGATTGGCACCTTTTATTTGAGTGAGGAAAAGGCGAGAGGGTCCAGCAGAAAGGAGACCAGATGGGTGGCCTGTTGTAGAGGAGGGGAGGAGGGGAAGGAGGAGGCAGGGAGGGGAGGAGAGGAGGGAGGAGAGGAGGGAGGAGAGGAAGGAGAGGAAGGAGCTGTGGCGGTAAACAGCCTCCATTGCTGCAACTCAATTAATACGGTTTTTGATGGAGGTTTTAATTTGTCATAGCTGCCGTAATAAGCAATACAATTTGGAACCTGATTTCACGTTGTGTTCGCAGCTAACCAGGGAGGAAAATATATCTTAATTGTCATGGTAAAAACTAAATAATGTCAAAAGTAATATATTCTTTTTAAATATATGTAGCAGAATCTGTGATGAAGTATTTGATATCTAATTATTATTCTAGGCGAAGGCATTTAAAAAAAAATGGGCGTTTAATTTGGAAATTTAATGAAAAAATATATACATTATTTCTGCATTTCCAATGATTATTTGGACTATTTATTTTGTTTGGCTGAAAATGCAAACATGTTCAATTGACTTAAAGGCAGCCGGAACGGATTAATAATCTCTCTAAATAATAATAAATAAATCTTAATCATCAACGAACGTACTTTTTTGCCTATTTCCTTTTTTTGTTTTTATTTATTGAATCAAATGTAACAGAATAAACCAACCAAACAATTCAGTTTAAGCTTAAAAAACAATCACTTTCAGTAGGTCTAATGACAGAACTATATCAGTGTACATTTGAATCCATATTTCATTGTACATAACTTGCATGGATTGCATCAGTTTGGTAGAAAACAGCAGGAATGTTTGTTTATATTTCGATAACACCATCATATCTATCATTCCTGCAACCACTTAAACCCTGCAACAAATAATGCAATATCTCTAAATCAAGTGCAGTTGATATGATGGATGAGGTTAATAAATCCATGTCATTTTAAATGATGCATTTTGATGTAAAAACACATTAAATGCTTTTTTTGGGCAGTTAGCATCTAATAAGGGGTGGCAGAAACACTTTATTTTGAGTTCATTTAGCATTCATCTCAAAATTATATAATCTTGGGTTTATTAATGTAATTG